ATAGAAAGGCAGACTCTGTCAATAACTAAAGTTTTCTAATAGGCCAGGACACCCTTGAACCACATCATCCTACTAACTAGAAAACATGGGTAAAAATAGCCTATTGTCAGGATTTTATTCAGAAATTTCACAATATTTTTCCATCAAAGACCTTGACTGTTTAAAACTTTTGTCTAAAATTATATAACAATGTAATATGATATTTCTGACATTTGTTAAATTTGGCTATTTTTTAATGTCATTATGAAAAAAATAGATAAAAGATCTGGTCAAGTTTTAAGAGCCACCATTGCACAAATTCCAACATTTCATTGAAATTGTACTTACTAATCATTGTAGTATTTATGATTTTTGATAAACCACAACACTTGATAAACGCAACGTTTTCAGGGCAAGCATTCGGGATGATTCCTTCTTCTTGGTTCAAGCAGTGCCTTTTTCTTTCTTCTTGGTTCAAGAAGAAGAGAACACCCCCAGAAGCTTGTCCTGAAAGTTTAGCTGTTAGTGCAAATAAAAAAATTATAATGGGCAGTACTCAACTGCGTTGTTGCAAGTGCACCTATATGACTCTGACCACCTTAGGCCCCTTCCAAACAGAGCAGACTCCAGGCAGATTCCACTTGCTCAGTGGGGAATCTGTCCAATGATCCAACTGATTCCCCACTGAGCACTCCGCTTGCTCAGTGGGGAATCTGTCCTATGAGCAGAGCAGTGCAGGCGGATCCTCTTATGCAAATCGGACACAGCCCGCTCTGCTCTATGGGCAGTTGCATGTCAACAGACCGGCTGTCCACTTACACCCAACTGCCCTCTGATCCGATCCACCCAGACTGAGGGGAACAGATCTCCTTCCATTTGTTTTTGGCAGATCAGATTGGATTGGAGGTAGGAGGGTGTAAACAGACACAAGACTGTTTACACCCACCAGCCCATACAGCAAAAGGGAGGGTCTGATCGGGTCTGTCTGCAAAACTGACAGGTGGACCGGACGGCTTGCATGAAAAGGACCTAATATTCAAGCAAACGTTCAAAATAAGCGCTGCGTTTCCACTTCTGGCCAGCAGATTGCCTACAGGAGAGTGTGATCTACTTGCAAACAATTGTTTTCTATGTAGATTTACTTTCCAATATTCTAGCCCCATTCAGGCAGGGATCTGATGACTATTCAGAGTGAATGTGTGAACCTCATATGAAACAGTGTACACAGTGCAAGTTTATAAAATAAATATGGTCTACAGACAAGCAGGAAAAGGGTTATCTTATACCTGAAATACTTTCGGTGCACTGACTAGAGATGCCAATGCTGAAGATAGAGTGGCAGAAAAAATACCAGCGATAATCAGAGGGCCAAATCCAGACACCATACTCATCACCTAAAGGATAAATGATAAAGAAATAATGGGAATCCTGTTACAGTACAAATACAAAGTATGTTGCATGTTTGTTTAATTTTTTTCTTTTGCATAATTTTGTATAATTTCCTGTATGATTAGTTAAACCCACAAGTGCTTTTTTTTACCACTACTATTCCTTTGTATTGGCTTTCAGACTTACAAAGGCAGCAATTTAGAAATTGGATGAAAGGCTTTACATTGTAAAACACTTTTTGATAGATAAACAGTGCAATTTATATACAACTATATAGATCAGACCAAAATGAGGAACAAGTGAGAAGGAAAGAGGGACAAGGGGATCTTGTTCCAAATGAGGGACAGTCCCTCGAAATCACGGACAGTTGGGAGCTATGTAAATGTCCCAAACACAGGTAGTGTGAGTTTGGTTCATTACATTTGTGAGCATGGGCTACTTTACACTAATAAAGGCACATAGCTGCATACAGCCGCCTTCACCCATTCATGTCTATGGGAGGCTGTACACAGCTCCAGGACATCTAGAAATACGCAGTGTGTTTATGCTGCATAGGCAAATGCTCCCATGTACATGAAGCCTTAATATATATTTAAGGCCTGAACAATATAATGCCACTAACAGCTCATTTACACTTGCTTCAAAATGTGGCATTGGACACACTTTTTTAAAGAAACACCCTATGTACCAATCAAAGCTCCTGTCACTAAATAAAATGGTTATCTTACAGTCCTGTTTACACACCAAGTTTACTTTGCTTTGCTTAAAAAATTATACCCCATGTTGCTTTCTTAGTGCTTCAAAGTGTCTCCAAAACCTCCATAGAAGTCTATGACAAAGCTCACTAATAGCACCTGTAGCTTTGGAGAGGCTTTTATTCAGCTTTAGTTTTGCTTTGTTTTATAGGTATTGCTAAAATGCGATATCCCAGGAATGCACTGGGAAGCCAACAAACGAACTGGAAAGACGTCATCAGCAGTCACTTCAGGTTCATATGTATATATTCTGGAAGTGTCTGGTGCAGACATCACATCTGGTGTGCAGTGAGGAGCAGCAGAAAGGTGAGCGGGGTCCAGACTGGAGAAGAGAAACTAGCAGACAGCACATGTGGTGTGCAACATGGGAACACAATAGCAGAAGGAGAGTGGGGACCTTAAAAGGACAAATTAGCAATGTCACGTGTGGTGTGCAGCATGGGAGCAATATAGCGGGAGGTGAGCGGAGAGACTAGAGAGAGAGGAGGATCACCAAACCAGAGGATCAGCAGAGCTTGGGGGTTACTACTGGGGGGGGGGATCAGCAGAGCTAGGGATTACTGAGCGGGGCATCTGCAGAACTGGGGGTACTACTGAGCTGGGGATCTGTTGAACAGGGGTACTACTGAGCTGGGGATCTGTTGAACAGGGGTACTAATGAGCTGGGGATCTGCATGGGGGTAGTACTGAGCCAGGGTTTAACTGGGCCCCTTTAAAACATATAAAAAAAATCAACAAACATACAGGGCATTTGCCAGGCTTCATTAAAGCTTCAAAAAAGCATCAACAAAACATCAAAAACACATAAAAAATGCATGTTAAAGTCGAAGCAAGTGTAAATGAGCCCTAAAAGAAAGACTGCCCTAAAACAGCAAGGCTTCCACCAGAAGCAACTTCACTGATGAACCTTACAAGGCTACACCATCTTGTTTAACCACCCGCATGGAAACAGTTAGTAGGAAAATATCACATAATTGGTTATTGAGGAAATGAATCTAAACTGTTTCACTATTATGAATTACATTGACCTAAAGGCACCACTGAGAAGCTAAACAGAAAATTATTGGCTATACTGAAAAGACGCAGTAAAACACTCCATTATGTTTTATGCCTCATACAATGTGCATTGTTTATAGTAGGTCCCATTGATCAATACTCACCTGCATGTTATTCATCAGCCCGTAGTTACATTTCTGAGTATTACATACAGAAAAATCGTAGCCGAGTTGGCAGGCGGCAGACCCATTGCAGTATAAGGCAAATGTGATCGTGTCATTGATGTTCCCGGTGGCGTCACGTACTACTGATGCAGCTTCAGAAAAATATGTTACATTGTTATATATTTTAATATATTCATCATTATTGGATTCAACAGATAAAGACTAAACATAACCATTGTTAATGCTCTAACTGTAAAATCTGATTTGACTGAAAATGTATTTTTGCTGAGCTAACTCATGCTTAGATGAAAGACCTACGATATATATTGTCTTGGGTCATATACAATGAGGCAACCTTTGTGTAAATTCAAATAAAAGAGTTTATTACAATAAAATTCTACTTCTAGGCTCCTTCGGCACCCAAACACACAGTGTAGACAGTGATGACCGAAGGAAATTTGCTCTGCTGCATTATCATACTGGAGCTACAAAGGCAAGTATAATTTTACACACAGATGGTGTGTATCAGCCCCTTCACATAAAAAAAAAAGCAACTATTTTGGGTAGAGATTTTAGATCGTACATGGATTGCACAATTTATAGGTAGCAAGACTTTAGGAAATACTTTATGGGAACTGAAAAAAAATGACTCTTTAATGACTGGCATAGTGCCACTTTACTGGTGTAAGGCCAATGTGGTGCCTCTATTTAAAAAGGGATCAACGTCTTTACAAAGTAATTATAGACCTTTCAGTGTAACTTCTATAGTTGGGAAGATACTAGTGAGTTTAATAAAATACCACATAGATGAGATCTTGCTGGTAAAAAATATTTTAAGCAACAGACATCCTGGATTCATGAACAGAAGTTGTCAAACAAATCTGATTTCTTTTTATGAGGAGGTGACCAAAACCTTGGACAGAGGGGTGGTGGTGGACGTGGTATACTTGGAGTTTGCAAAAGCATTTGACACAGTTCCCCACACAAGGCTAATATGTGTTTAATTGGTTAACTACTGTATGTGGCAAATGAGGTTTAATGTTGATAAATGTAAGGTTATGCACTTGGGGGTTAAGAATATGCATGCATCATACATACTAGGGGGAGTACAACTGGGGGAATCAATGGTGGAGAAGGATCTGGGAGTTCTGGTAGATCACAAGCTTAATAATGGCATGCAATGCCAAACTGCGGTTTCTAAAGCGAGCAAAATCCTCTCTTATATTAACCACTTGCCTACCAGGCACTTATACCCCCTTCTTTACCAGGCCAATTTTCAGCTTTCAGCGCTGCCGCACTTTGATTGACAATTGCGCGGTCATGCAACATTGTACCCATATGAAATTTTGATCATTTTTTTTCTCACAAATAGAGGTTTCTTTTGGTGGTATTTAATTGCCACTGGGTGCTTTACTTTTTGCGCTATAAATAAAAAAAGTGCAAAAAATTTGAAAAAAAAAGAAAAAGTTTCTTTGTTTCTATTATAAAATTTTTCAAACAAGTAATTTTTCTCTTTCACTGATGTGCGTTGATGAGGCAGCACTGATGGGCACTGATAGGCGGCACTGATAGGCAGCACTAAAGGGCACTGATAGGCAGTACTAATGAGGTGGCACGGATAGGCGGCACTGATAGACAGCACTAATGAGGTGTCACGGATAGGCGGCACTAATATGCAGCACTGATAGGCGGCACTGATAGGTGACACTGATGATGGGTACTGATAGACGGCACTGACTGGCATCACTGCTGGGCACTGACTGGCGGCACTGACTGGCACAACCCCTGGGCACTGACTGGCGGCACTGACTGGCACAACCCCTGGGCACTGACTGGCGACACTGACTGGCAGCACTGCTGGGCTGCACTGGTGGGCAGCACTGGTGGGTGGGCACAGGTGGGTGGCACTGGTGGGCACAGGTGGGTGGGCACAGGTGGGTGGCACTGCTGGGCACAGGTAGGTGGCACTTCTGGGCACAGGTAGGTGGCACTGCAGAGTGGCACAGGTGGGTGCACTGCTGGGCACAGGTGGGTGCACTGCTGGGCACAGGTGGGTGATCTGCTGGGCACAGGTGGGCGGAGCTAGTGGGCGCACTGCTGGGCACAGGTGGGCGGAACTTGCGGGTGGCACTGCTGGGCACCGATCATCAGGGCACTGATCATCAGTGCCCTGATGATCGGTGCCGATCCCCGCTCTGACAACTGCCGGTTCTCGGCAGTACTTTCCTCACGATATGACAGCGTGAGGAAAGTGCAGCCGAGAACCGGCACTTGCATTTCCCTCTGATCAGCGTGTCATTGGACACCGCTGATCACGTGGTAAAAGGCCGCTGTGATTGGCCTTTTACCACATCACGTGATCAGCTGTGTCCGTAGGACACAGCGATCACGGAGATCGCCGGGTGCGCGCCCCCTGGGGCGCGCAGGAGAGCGCGTTCTGGGAGGACATCATATGACGTCCACTCAGAACTGGCCGGCCGCAGTGTAGCCGTCATTCGGCTATCTGCGGTCGGCAGCTAGTTAAAAGAGGTATAGACTCCAGAGAGAGAGAGAGAGATATCATATTACCCCTGTACAAATCATTAGTAAGACCTCATCTGGAATATGCAGTTCTGTTTTGGGCAGCAATTCACAAAAAGAATATCGGGGAACTGGAGAAAGTACAGAGAAGGGCAACCAAACTGAGCTATGTGGAAACATTAGAGGAACTGAATTTATTCTCTCTTGAGAAGAGGAGATTAACGGGGGATATGATCAACATGTATAAATACATGAGTGGTCCATATAGTGAACACAGAGGGCAAGGGGCACTCTTTACATCTGGAGGAAAAGATATTTAATCTTTAAATAAGAAAGGCATCTTCACAGTAAGAGCTGTGAAATGCGGAACAGACTCCCTCAAGACCTGGTTCTGGCCTGCTCAGTAGATGCTTTAAAAAAGGCCTGGATCCTTTCCTAATTGTGCATAATATAACTGGATTCTAACATTTATAGGTACAGTTGATCCAGGGAATATCCGATTGCCACTTGGGGGATCAGGAGGGAATATTTTCCCCTGCTGGAACCAGTTAGATCATGCTTTACTGGAGTTTTTGCCTTATTCTGGATCAACTGTATAGGATTGTATAATTTTTTTTCCCTTTTATTGGATGACCTATATGGACTTGTGTCTTTTTCAACCAGACTAACTATGTAGATATGGAACTATGTAACTTCTAGATAATGCTAGTTTTAAATAGCAGGCCTGCATAGGAATGTATAACCCTTGGGCTTTTAGAAGCATTAAGTAACCTTTGCCAAACCAAAACACCTAACCATGGACAATGTGGCTTGAGCCCCAGGGCCTTATCAGCATACGGCTATTGGAATTGGTGTGGGTATTGGAAAATAGAGGTTGACTATTACCTTCAACCCTTCACTTAAAAAGGTCCAATGGCCAACACAGGACTGTCCATGTGCTGATGTTCTGTTCTGCAAATGCTCCATGATGCTTAAAAGCTTGGAGAGTGAAGCATTCATTTACTGGCCTTGCAGTGTTAAAATTGTCACAACAAAAAATGTCCTTTGGGAGAGGGCTATTTGTATCCTATTCTGAAATTATCTATCAGCCCAAGCACAGTGTTGGATAATGGGCTGCCCTATGTACGAGGCTTGAAAAATGCACACAAAACCCAGCGGGAACACGCGTTTTTGTTACACTCAGGTGTGAATGACATGTGCTTGGGAGGAAGTTTTTAAGCAGCAAGGATGACCAGGGAGGAGAGGTGAGTGTTGAAAAAACCCACTGTGTCACGGATAAAAATGCACGCCCACGGCAACTAGCTGAACGAGGTGTGGTCCGTGACTTGGGGTAAAGAGGGAATAAGGGGGGAGCATATAAAACTAGCTCCACTGTGATCCACTTTCATAGCCCGCACTGCCTCTGGCCACCACTAGAGGGAGACTCCATTCCAATCCAGCTGGCTGACCACACACAGGCAGATAGGAATCTTACATACAATCTGGTGCACTCTAAGGGTTGGGGAGCAACCTAGCAATTAGCACACCCTTCTAGGATTCCTCCAGCTATCCTACAAGCTAGAACTCCGGTGTTAATCACTCTTCCACTGTCCACACCCCCCCACACACAAATGGTAGCTTGCCACCACCCAACATTTTGTCCGCAGACTGGTCTGCTTGGTCACAAAACACACACAGATCTCCGTCTAGCAGATTTGCTATGTTACAATCTTCATTCGATCTGCCAACACGCAGTGCAAATGCATACAGGTTGGCAATGAACTTAGACCGAGCACATAGACATTACAATACAACAATCTCTCTGGGAATATGAGCTTGAGCTTAAGTACACAGAAGTCACTTATTAATTTTATAATTTTATATCCGGAAATTGGTAAGTGCATAAAATATGTATTAAGAAAAAACAGTCATAGAAAATATAAAAAAGACAAAAAGATAAACAATTGGCTATTCACTATGCAATAAAAAAAGGGAATAAAAACAGAAATAAAACGTTCACTAAGATTTATTCTGCAACTGGAGCAAGTCAAAGAAAGTCCTTGATTTGCCAGTCAAATGGATCCGGCTCTGTAGGAATTACATATCTCAGGGTCATCAATTTATTGAAATATGGATGTGGGTTGGACTTTAGCCCTTGGTCAATCAACCCCAGGGGGTGTTCCTGTACCAGCCCATAGGACGTTCTGTGTTCTGAAGTGCCCGGAGCTGCATGGGCCAGGAATGACTCACTGGGTCAGGGATAGAACGTTCGACACCAGCACACCAGTCTGATCGTGACAGTACCAATCACTGTTCAGTTGTCGCAATCAGGCGCCAAATAACCATTTTGTGTGTTTCTCCAGAATTCTACAGAGGCTACAAATACAGTTTTACATGGACACGGAGCCTAAAATGTGTCCAATCAGAAGTAATTATTTTCATCTATATGCAACTAATATTTTAGACTTTGTGAGAGATGAAATAGATACCTCTGATCTGTGGATATAACTCAAAGCTGGCAGACAGGACTTTGTTAAGGACCCGGTTGAGAGGTATAAGACAGGTATTTGAAAAACCTGAACCCTCAGCAACTGGCTGAGGATTCAGATTTTACCACCCCCTATCTTGACTCCCTAGGGCAGCTGCCTGATCTGCCTTATGCTGGCACTGGCCCTATGTGTTAGGGCAGGGCTTGAATTTGTTTGGAATCTAGGGGCCGTTAGAAAAGTTTGGAGACAGGTGGGGGGGGGGGGCATGACAAGTGGGGGGCAGCAGGACAAGAGAGGGAAGTGTCAGGGGATGGGGGCAGTGGGATAGGAGGGGGGGCAGTGGGACAGGAGGGGGGCAGCAGGACAGGTGGGGGCAGCAGGACATAAGGGGGGCAGCGGGACATGAGGGGGGGCAGTGTCATGGGGGGGTCAGTGCCACAGGAGGAGGGCAGTGGAACAAGTGGGGGCAGCAGGGCAGGTGAGGGGCAGCATCACAGGAGGGGAATTGGCTGGGGGGTGGCTTTCATGGGGCTGTGTGGGGAGATCAGGGGGATTCTTTGCCTGGGAGTGGTGTGCACTGACAGGCTCTCTGACTCTGGGGGTGCGAGGATACTGGGCTGGGCTCCAATCTTTGGGGCAGGAAAGAGGGGCAGGCCGAGGACGCAGGGTGGGGGATCACTGGGCAGTGTGGGTTGGTGGTTTATGGTCAGCGCAGCAACCTGGCGCCTGGGATTTGATGAGCCCTGTGTTAGGATACACTTGAGGTTCTAGAATAATGGCAACGCCTGAGTAAAAAAACCCTGGCATCTGAGAATAATTTTGTATGCGAAGTGAATCATTTTGTAATTTTTTTTCTTAAATATGGTTATATAAATCCAACAAGTTAAGTTCTTCCCCTAAAGGATTTACTAGAGGTGTGTATTAGCACCCAGAAACATCTCATCACATCTAATGGCTATGGGTACCTTTACTTTTATAAATATCAATAATACAAGGAGATTATACCGTATTACAAATCAGGAGACTGGCACTCACCTGCACAAATAGCTACCGCCAGATAAGCAATAGTTGTGATAATGATGGCAAGCATGGTTCCCTTGGGTATAGCACCTTGAGGATCCTGACAAAAATATCAAAATGTGAGTTTAGCAACAATACCTGAAAATGTGCATGGTGCTTTTGCTGCAAGTAAGATATCACTTTGCCTTATGTGTCTAAAATGGCCTACTGTGCCAACATTATTGTAACAATGACAGCTATCCGCAGGGCCTTTTATTGCCCCTTCTTACTCTGGCCACAGATGTAGGATTTTGCACAATTTCATGTACCACATATAAAGTGAGATTCTGTGTAATGAAATACTAATTGCTTATTCTTTTTTCCTTACAGGTTTATAAATGTAAAAAAAAAATGGCATGGGAAAAGTTGGCTGACACTCTAGGCTTAAAGTGTTTGTAAATCTCAGACATCATATATAAACAAAGCATATCTCTCTATAGTATATACTCAATTAGGAGCTCTAAGTGTCATTTCTGTCTGCTGCTTTGTTCCTCTGCTACCAGCATGAGTCACTTCTGACATGTTTTCCTGACACCAAGAGAAAAATGGTGACAGGAGAGGGACCTTCAGCTGATTGACAGCCTCAGCTCTGTTGCTGTGAGATGTGTGAAGGGGGGTGTGTCTCTTCCCTCCAATCAGCTCTCAGAGCTCTCAATGAACTCTGCAGTGTGTGATTTCAGCTCTCCGCCCCCTTTTAAAACTCTCAGACAAGCTTTAAAATTCTGCACTTTGAACAGCTGTAGAGAAGAGAAGGCTAAAGATAGACAGGTACAACTTATGTACGAGGATTTGTTTCATCTGTGTATCACCTTAGCCAGTCACTTCACTGGATACATGTAAGAGTTTACAACCACTTTAAAGCCTAATTGCAGCCAGAATAAAATAAAAAAGCACAGAGACATAACTTACAGTCAATAGAATGTGTCCCTTCTGCTTATGACTCTTCTATTGGGTAAAATTCCCCTCCGTCTATGCCTCTTCCTACCCCTGCCGCCATAATCTTCTGGTGCGGTGGGATTAATAGAACTA